AAGAAAGAAGATAATATAGATAAAAGCAGAAATTAATGAATTAAAAGAGCAGTAAATATTGGTTAATCTGGAATGGACTTTGAAAAGACCAATAAGATCTGAGAATAGTTTCTTGAAAAGATCTCTGTTACTGAGAAGAAAGGACAGAATAACCTACATAGAATTTTTTTTAAATTTCACATCTATAAAAAGATTCAGTAGACCATTTATAAGGAAATATTTCATTTTAGTGGTAATAAAGTTGAACATTTTGTTAAAAAAAAGTGGTTTTCTACTAAATAACCAAACTATACATACAAACTTTTTGTCCAAAAACTCTGGCAGGAATTTGAAAATTTGTCAAAATACAGCTGCTTCTAATGTCCACCTTATGTCCAATCAAAGGCACATCACTTAATTACATGTAAGTGTTTCACACATCAAGGAATAGTTACTTCTTTTTTTTTTTTTTTTTTTTTTTTTTTTGAGACGGAGTCTCGCTCTGCCATCCAGGCTGGAGCGCAGTGGCCGGATCTCAGCTCACTGCAAGCTCCGCCTCCCGGATTCACGCCATTCTCCTGCCTCAGCCTCCCGAGTAGCTGGGACTACAGGCGCCGCCACCTCGCCCGGCTAGTTTTTTGTAGTTTTTAGTAGAGACGGGGTTTCACCGTGTTAGCCAGGATGGTCCTGATTTCCTGACCTCGTGATCCGCCCGTCTCGGCCTCCCAAAGTGCTGGGATTACAGGCTTGAGCCACCGCGCCCGGCCAATAGTTACTTCTTATACCAATTTCAAGGATGAGAAAAAAATGGAAAACTACAATTATTATCATGAGGTGACACACCATAAAAACAAAATGAATTTCTCTCAGACTTGAGTATACATGGAAAATCAACTTTCCATAATTAAAGAATGCCACAGCAGTATCATATCAGGTGACTAATATCCACGGTAAAATGGGGTTTATCCTATAAGTATGAGGATCTTTCAATGTGAAGACATCTACTAATATGCTACCTCATCAATATATCAAAGAGGAAACACCATCTATTCATCTAAAAATCTTCCAAAAGGCATCTGGTAGAGTTCAACATACATTTGGAATAAAACTTTCAAAATATATACAAATTGAATGACATTTATTTAGTATGATAAATTCTATGTTCTGATAAAATAAGCCACCAACATTATGCCTAATGATAATTCACTAGAGATATTCTCATTAAAGCTAGGGAAAGGAATTCCAACTATTCCCATCACTGTGTAATGTTGTTTTCAAATGCTAACAAATACAACATAATAAAAAATTATATCTGTAAACATCTAATATAGATAATATATGTAATTAAGTATATATAATGAAAAACAATTATCATCATTTGCAGATAATGTAACTGTCTAGCTGGAAAACTGAAAATAATTAACTTAAAAAAGTGAACTACTGGAATCGATAACAGAAGCTCTAAAATTACCAGTTACACAGTTAACATAATGAAATAAACACTTTTGCTTATAGATAACCATATCAGTTAGATTCTAACATTAAAAAATATCCCATTTACTGTAAGACTAATATTATAAAATGTCTAGAAATTCTTGTATCAATAAGCACTTACAAAATTCAAAGTATTTTTCTGACACTTAAAAGGACTTGAATAGACAGTGAAACATGGAATGCTCTAATCCAAAAATTAATTGTTAAACAAAAGTCAATTATTCACAAGTTAATATATAAAGACAATGCAATTCTAATTAAAACCCCAACATAAATTATCTGGAGATTGGCTATTTGACAAAACATTCCAAATTTCACCAAAGACACTTATTCTTAGAATAGATAGAATTTTTAAGTGAAAAAATTGAGGACTATAAAAGTTCAATTTCTTTAGTTCTAAAAACTGAAAATGACAATTATTTAATATATATGTATAAGCATGTGGACATATATATGCTATTCATTGGCTCATATAATTGTGTGCTTATATCTGTGTATGTATACATGTATTATATATATTTACTGGCAGGAATAAACCTTGGTATGATTTTTCTGGGAGGCATCTCATGTATCCATTGGTGCAGCATTTCCCTCTCCAGGAATTTGCCCTAAGGAAATAATCACGAACATGTATAATGCAATAGCTAAAACTATGTTAATCCTGGTGTAGTTTATAGCAAGTCAAAATTAGAAAGAAAAAAATCTAAGTCTTCAAAGAAGGGTATTTTATAAAATCAGGATACATTCATAAAGAAAATATCAGGCAAACATTAAAACCATCATATAAGAATAATGAATAGGATATTCTCATAAGGAATATGAAAAGTAGCTTATGAGTGAAGAGGCTAAGGAAAGACTGATTTTTACGAGTATCCTTTTTCCAACTGACTTACAAGCACCCTAATCCTAAGCAAACCACATGATTTTAAGGAATGTTACTACATCTAACAAGGGCTTTAAATGACCTCTTTTATAGTCCATTGTTGCTTCCTCACAGGAAGTTCTGATCTCACTCTCAGCCAAGTCCTTGTATCTTACTGTGCTGTGGCTGCATTTATTTGCCTTCTAAATGTATCAGGATAATGAGGATTTGAGCCGATAAGCAATAACCAGGATGTGATGGGGATAATGATTTGAGAAAGCTAGGGAAAGTAGACATCAAAACAAATTGACCAAATGTATAACACTTGGAATGGATAAAAGGCTGAAGACTTTCAAGTTTCTGACAAGCATTACACCACAGGGTCACAGCCCTGAGCTTCTACCATCCCCTTCTCCAGCCTCCCTTAACAACGCAAAAGCAGCCCTCACCCTGCCTGCTTTAAACCCTGCACTAACTAAGCCACCAGATACATCCAGCAACTGAGACAGGAGCTGCTGTCTGGTGGGCAGGTGAGCTGGGACAAAGCAGGGATGTCATTACGTAGTTGGGGTCCCAATTTGGGATTTTGAATCCATTTGTCCAGAAATTTTTTTTTTTTTTTTTTTTTTTTTTTTTGAGACGGAGTCTCGCTCTGTCGCCCAGGCTGGGGTGCAGTGGCCGGATCTCAGCTCACTGCAAGCTCCGCCTCCCGGGTTTATGCCATTCTCCTGCCTCAGCCTCCCGAGTAGCTGGGACTACAGGCGCCCGCCACCTCGCCTGGCTAGTTTTTTGTATTTTTTAGTAGAGACGGGGTTTCACCGTGTTAGCCAGGATGGTCTCGATCTCCTGATCTCGTGATCCGCCCGTCTCAGCCTCCCAAAGTGCTGGGATTACAGGCTTGAGCCACCGCGCCCGGCCCAGAAATTATTTTTTTACCTCTATTTATTTTTTGAGAACAACTGGTAAATATTTCTGTTATATGATGTATGTGCTAAGTGAGATTTTTGGACTTCATTACTGTGCATATGCAAACCCCGCAGCTTTGGGGAAAAATTCAGAGTTCTAAGTATTGACTGGTTTACCTATGGCAAATTGGGGGTTAATTCATTTGTAGTATTTTAAAACATAAAAGCATAATATTTAAATCTGGGGGCAGCATAGTAAGACCAAATTGCTGTTACATTCAGAGAGTAAAATTCAGAGCCAATTATACATACATATATAATTTTCATTTTACATTTTTAGAACTAAGGAAATTGAACTTTTGTAGATCTCAGTTTTTCACTTGAGAAAAAGTTCTGTCTATTCTAACAACTAGTGTTTTGGGTGAAATTTACAATTTCTGTCAAAGAGCTGATCTTCAAATAAATCATTTTAGGGTTTTAATTGGAATTTCTTTGTCTTTATATATTAACATGAATAATTGACATAATAATATAGAAACTAATTCATCAAGATGAAACTTACACCTTAAAAGTGTACCTTAATGTTGACCCAATCATATTATTCTAAGTAAAGGGAAATCTAAGATTCCTTAAAAGGTTGATAAACAAAAGTGTTTTCTTCAAAAAACAAGCAAACAAACAAAAACTTAGAAGTCCAATAATTGAGGATTACTTACGTAAACCATGTAATAGTCTATATTGAAGTATCATGCAGCTGTCACAAATATTTGAGTGTATATATTATCTGGGGATTTATGCTACAGCACTCCACATAATATGCAAAATTATACATATTTTATAAAATCAAATTTAGAAAAATATTTCTGGGAAACATAATCGCAAGAATTTTAATAAAATTTTTTATCATTGTGGGTGGGGTGTCAAATCTCAACTCCCCCACTGATAACTTGATAATCTGTACATAAAGCTGAACTTATCATCTGGCAAAGAGTTAGTGCTCAATAAAACCTGCTGAGTGCTGTCATTCTAGGCACTGGACACACACCCTTTAGTCCTCTTTGGCATCCTACAATATAAGCACTCTTAGTACCTCCATTTTGCAAAGGACATTGTGAGTCCTGAAAGGGCTAAGTAATTTTCCTGGAGACTCATCAATATTGAGGGACAGAGCTGGGGCTAAACCTGGGTCAGTTCATATCTAACTCCCAGTGCCTCTTACCCCATATGGCGCTCCAAAGTAAAGGTATGTTTGCATTTATAGGTGGCTTTTATTTTTATTGTTGATACTTTTGTGTGCTTTCCAAATTTTCTAAAACAGGTACCTATTGCTTCTAAAATCAGAAGAAAATCTTTACTTTTGTGTTTGTTTAAGAAAGACCATTAAGGAAGTAACATAAAAAGCAGGTTAAGGGTGGAGAAGAAAAATTATGTCGATAAGTGTAAGCTCTCAGCTTCTCTCAAAATTTAGCTTTGGAGAGCAATGCATTTCTAAATGTTTCAGAGATGCATACAGTTTTAAAATTTTCCTATCTAATTTCTGTAAGAGTGATCATTTAAATTAGTATGTGATTGTGATACATTTTGACTTGAAAATATGGCCATTAGGCAATGGTCTGGTTAAAGTTATATCTTTAAAATGTCCCATCCATTTGCTTTGATTAAGTCTGCATAAAGGTTTGCATGTTCTGTTTTATTTGCTTTATTTGGACGCCTAGTGCGTCTTTTGTGGTCTTGGACTTGGCCCCAACTGAGGAGGAAGAGCAGCTGGATGGGGACGGAAAGTCAGAGCCTTGGATGCTCCTCCCAGCCGCCCACTTAACCTCTCGATGCCTCATTATTTCCCTCTAGAAAATACTTTCACTATTTGTCCTTGAATTAAGCAGTGAAGAAGACAACTTTCAACATTTAAAGTAAGTGCAAACAATTACTTCTCTGGGTCCTCACTGATTTTTCCATTTATCTGCTTCACCTCTCCTGTCTTTCCTTTCTGTTTTCTTCTCTCTCTCTCTCTCTTTCTTTTTCTTTCCCTTTAATTCTGGCCCCAAAGTATGGACTTGGCCAGAGGAAATGCTCAGAATGAAGGATTGCATCTTCCGACCAGAAGCAGGTGTGAGGATGGATATGACATCTCTACAGAAGGTCTATTTTCTTTCTCTCCATTGTTCATGTTTACAGAGCCCTCCCTTCATAACGCAAATGTTACCTTTGATGTGTTATTCTATTAGTTCTCATGCTTAAGGGATGCTAATAAATCAAAGACATTTGTGTGTTCATTAATGCACTCCTGCACTTTCGAAAGTATCCTCTCAATGGTCTTGAAAAGCTCAAGCTCACTCTTCAGGGTGTTGTAAACATGCTTTGTCCCAGCCCCATGCCAGGCCTTACCCTCCCAGGTGCTGGACCCTGTTAAGAGCAGTGGTCCTGCCTATTACATGACTCCGAGGCTCCTTTTGTAATCACCACAAACTGGATGGAAGAGCCACAGGGCTACCATCAGCCCTGCAGAGACAGTGGAGCAGAGGAATCTCATTAATTAAGGCCTGAAAGAGACCCAGGTTGCAAGTGAGGCACTTTGAGAGTCATCCAAGGATCTCTGGGCTGGAAAAATGGAAATACACTAACATTAATTAGCCTGCTGCACCAGAAGAGAATAATTTAAATCAAAAAGATAATCTCACTGCCCTTTTGATGTGAAAAAGTTGTCCTAGATTGTAACTTTGATTTCCACGTCAGCAGCCTGTGTGCTCATACATTAACAGCAGCTTGGAAGTTTGAAAAAGCAGGGGTGGGCATCGATTTTGAACAGTGGCCCTTTCACTTGCTGTGTGATCTTAGACAACAGACTGCTTCTCCCTAATTCTCTGTTTATAGTTTTATTCACTTTAGAGTGGTGAAAGAACACTTAATTTAATGAGACGCTGGGAGAATTAAGTACGTTGATACTCTCTATGACGTGAGAAAAGCTGCAGACGCAGAATATCCTGCAGAAATAAATAGCTGGTTATTTGTTGCGTATGTGCCTGGCAAATGTGCACATATAATTTTTTTTTTTAACCAAGTCTTTTTCATCTTGGTATTGCCATTGAGTCAACTCTGCTGGGTGTTATTAAAAGACTCCCCAACACAATAGCAAGGGATGGTCAACAAAGGAAAGCACACATGGCAGCGAAAGCTATTGAGAAATGTACATTCACCCTCCCACACCCTTGACCTCTAGAATCAGATCAGTAACTTCTCCCCTCTTCATTTCCCCTTCCTGTGTCCACAGTGAAGGGAAGTTGGTTGCAACCTTTTGCAGATAATGTGACACAGGGTACACAAGAGCGGAAGGGAGAAAAGCATTTCAACAAAAGCCTGGAACTTCAGTTTAGGTAAATTCAGGAAGGCGTGAGATAGGAAATGGCAGCAACCTTGCCAGGAACTAAAGGAAAAGGATTCTGGCATCAGCCCCGGAGCAAAATGTTAGGTCATCTATAATAAGGGCTGGGTGAAAAACCTTCAACTCAAAATGAAAGATACAATGACACAAAGAAACTTATCAAGGCAACCTTTGAAAGCAGTTAAGAAACCAATTCTTCTCTTTAAAGAAAGTCTGCAGACAAAAGACATTCCCTGATCAGCTTGTGTCAAGTTCCATGTAGAATAAACTTTCTTCACAATCTCAAGAGCCAAGTTTCTGTGCCAATTTTTTTTTTCCTATTTATGAGGAAAAGGAGAGGAAACAGAAACTTAAAAATGAAACAGTAGATTAAACTCACCTTTCCCCAATTAGGTAGCTTTAATAAGTGCTTTATATTTTTTATCAAATTTCATTCCATTTAACTTTCCATAATAACTATAAATGACACTGACGAGATACAGTTGGTATTGACAAGAGAATTGGTTCATGTATAAAATGAGAAAAGAAAAATGTTCCATTCCACTTTAAAATTGGAAGATGAAAGAGCACATTCCAGGGAGAAAGAATGTATTTTTTCTCAGGAGTTAACATTTAGTTCTCCTGGCACTAGAAATGCTGAACTTCTGAGAAAGATGTTAACAACAAGATCAGAGCTGTATCATGGGGGAAAAGGATAGGCTAATTTCAGAGATCCTGCAATTGAAAAGATTGTTTCTTTGGGCTTCAGTGAATTAACTATTTGTCCCCCCAAAATTAATATGTTGAAATCCCAATACACTTCTACAAATGTGATGGCATTACGAGGTGGGGGATTTGGGAGTTAAGTCATGATGGCAGAGTGCTCATGAATGCTATTAGTGTTCTTATACAAGGGACCCCAGAGAGGGCTGTCTCTCTCCACCATGTGAAGGTATAAGTCAGCAATCTGTAACCTAGAAGAGGGTCCTCACCAGAACCTGATCATGCTGGCTCCCTGGTCTTGGACTTCTAGCCAGAGAATTGTGAGAAATAAATGTCTATTGTTTATAAGCCTCCAAGTCTAAGCTGGAAGCTATAACAGCCTGAGTTAAGGTACCTGCTTCTAAAGTCTGACTCACCATTCTGTATTAAGTGTCAGACTGTTTTCCAACCACTCATTTCCAAATGGACCATTCATTTTGCACAAATGTTATCCAGACCTGAATGCCTGAGAAGGAACCCCTTCTTGATATAGGTAATGTTCTGGTTTCCACTCCAACACTTTAAATGACAGCATTTTAGTAACTCCAACTCTTCTTGTCAAGGAGTCAAAAAGTAAGATGCCAGTAATTCACAGTGGGAAGATTCTTAGTTTAACATGTTAGAAGGGAGGAGAAAAAGATCTTTTTCTTTAATAATATTCACAGTTAAATGGTAAAGTAAGTGAAAAAGTTCTGCACTTGGTAGCAGTGAATAACTGTCTTCCACCGGGGTTGATAGGGAGGATCATTAACCATCAGAGAAATTGCTAACTGCCCTGGAACACAGCACATTCTTGGGTGAAAAGTCACTTGCATGCCTGTTGGAGCCATCACTATGGATTGCTGGCCATTCTGAATTGGAGTTTGAGGCTGACGTCTGAAACCACAGGTTGTCTTGTTCATTGTTTCTTCATGTTTTTCTAGGGGTTATTTAAGCCTCTCAAATGTGAATTTCACACATGTTGCTTGGGCTGCACCCATCCATCATCTCATGATTTGACACAAAACCCATTTTTTAAATGTTTTATTTATATAGAACATCAGCTATCACCTACCCATATATCCAGTCATGACCTGCACTGTTTATAATTTAGGTTTCATGTTAAAACTTCCAGCTAGATGCTGTTATCTTCAGTTTAAGGGTAATACCAATTTTGACTCAGGGGAATTTAAGAAACTTGTTGAACTTTGTTTCACCAGTAAGTGACATCTGAAATTTGAGCCTATGTGTTTCTATTTCCCAAGTCTATATTCTTCATCCTTTCCACTATATAGCCTTGCAGCTTACAAACTTCCCTTCAATCATAAATGTCTATTCCCTTAAAGCAATGGTTTTCTATTATATAGGATAGCAATATCTGAATAGTCAAAGATGTGTTCTCATAATTTGATTCCAAATTTGTTCCAAGAAGAATCCACACGCCTCGTCTGTCCCGTCAGGTCCAGAGAAAGCAATGTATCCACTGTTCAGCACCACCCCTCACCCATCACCATCACTGCCAATACCTACCCTAAGGTTCTCTTTCCTGTTGAGCCACTTGATTTATGTTTAACATTATACTAATTACTAAAGCAGTTGATGAGTCCCACTTTGTAAAGTGTTGAAGTCTAAAGAGTAAAAATAAAAGAGGGCGGACATGGTGCATCATTTGAGGTGAGGAGTTTGAGACCAGCTTGGCAAACATGGTGAAGCCCAGTCCCTATTAAAAATACAAAAATTAGATGGGCATGGTGGCGGGTGCCTGTAATCCCCGCAACTTTGGAGACTGAGGCAGGAGAATCGCTTGAACCCAGAGGCAGAGTTTGCAGTGAGCTGAGATGGCAACACTGCACTGTAGCCTCTGTCTCAAAAAAAAAAAAAAAAAAAAAAGAGTACTTCATATGTGAAGTTTGGCTTTTTCTTTTTGTCACTGTAAACATTGTCAATAGAAAATTTTAAAAGAAAAATAAGAGTTCCAAAAAGTTCAAGATATATGTGACTTGATTATTTAGTCATTTAATGAGAGCTTTAGTCTTAGTTGTTGAAAATCTATGTGGATTTCTCTCTATTTGTAGTCAAACCTTTCTATATGTACATAGGATTTTTGGGGGGGAAAGAAATCAAATAATTATATATTTTAACTTCATTTAGGTGCCCCAATCTTAAGCAGACGAAATATAGATTTCCTGCTTTTTCCCAACCCCTGACTTCACTTTAAATTCTTCTCAGCTGATGTGGTTTAAAGCTAAGTATGTTTTCTTTCTTTTATAGCTTAACGTTACACAAGAATTTCTCTGGTTCTTCCAACTTCATGCCACACATGGCATTCTGTCCTTATCAAAAATCAGATCATTTCTCTTAAAGAGAAAAAAACTGGCATCAAGGCAAACCCTGGAGATGAAAGCAAGGGTTAAGTTTACTTCCAATATTAGGGAATGATTCGGAAATAAATGTCGAGGTTAAAAAGTCCAGATGGCAATTCAACTGTATCCTCACTATAAACATGATTTGATTTATGGGAACTACTAATGGTATCTCCGTTTAGATCTGGACAGCTTTGCTTTCTCTCATCTGAGTTTTAAATTCATCAGATTCTTTTACTCCCACTATCAATCCTTCACTACAAAGAGACACTCCTCATCCAGAATTTGGGAGTATCTTACAATGCAGAAATTGATAAATGTTAACAACCCTAATCCATGCAAATTACTGTCTGTTGTCATTATTTATAACCTGGCGGATGTGCTTATTCAAAAGATCCTCAAAAGGCTTTGACAATTCATGCTTCCAGTTGTGAAACATCTTTTGCTC